TTTTTTTTTTTTTTTTTTTTTTTTTTTTTTTGGTACTGGGGATTGAACTTCGGTCCTTGGGCTTGCAAGGCAGGCCACCGAACCGCTGAGCTAAATCCCCAGCCCTCAAATGCACTTTCAAAGAGATGAACTTTATCTAATTTTAACTGGTTTTGCTTCTTCTAATGCGCATCCTGGTGAAATATTGATTTTCATTTAAATACTTAGAATTTTTTGCAAATAATGGCTGGAATGCAACTCAACCTTACTTAAGAAGGGAAAAAGGAATTTGTTGGTTAATGTAATTGGGAAGGTTAGGTATAAAACTGTCTGGATCTTAAGCGTCAAATTATTTAATCAGGACATTGCTCTGCTTTACTTTGGGTTAATGTCATTCACAGATGAGCATTCCCATGAATTGACAGTGATGGTCACCAGCAATTTCATAGTGTTTCACATCACGGGAGAAAAGAGAGACTCTTTCTATAAAAAAATCCCAGGGCTGTTTTCCACAGGTCTAGCCAATGAGTTGATGGAGTCTATAACCAGGAATGGACTGTTCTGATTGGCCATCTTTGGTGATGATCACTAGTACTGGGGATGGGGGAAAGGTGGTTCCACAAAGGAAAGTCAAGACAATATTCCAAGAGAAAAAGAATAAACATTCAGCAGGAATTACAGCAGAAGTCCATTTTTATCAAGAGCCTCCTTTGCTGCAGGAAGGGGAAGTGTGCTATGATAAGGACTGTGTAAAATAAAGCTTGGGCTTTAGAGTCCACGGTCAGGAGTCTGTTGTTCCTAGGTGGATCAGATGTTAGCCATATGTCTTTGGAACATCAGCTAACTGCTCCAGTCCCATCTCCTCATCTGTAGAATGGAACTAAAGGCTCAGAGATTTGAGGAGAAGGAAAAAGACAATCTCTGGCACTTACTACCACTTAGTAAAGGGTACCTATTTAAAATAATATAGTTTTGGCTACTTGTAAAAATTAAACTATTGTACTCTGGGATGGTATATGTTACCTCCCCCTGAGAAAATCACAAATCCTTAAGGCTCAATTTCCTCATTTGAAAACAATGATAACTTCTTAATTGACTCACGAATATCTATGAAGAAGATACAATATGCTAGATGTTTTTCTTAATACTGAGGATATGACAGTGATCAACACAATGTCCTAAACCCTCTCAAACTATGTATTTTAGTGAGGAAAACAAGTCACAAGAAAAAAGATAAAGAAATCGAGTATCTAATATATGTACTCAGATTTTAAAAACTGAGGAGGCAAAGAGGATGGCAATATTTAGAAAGCAGATTCTAAGATTTTAATTAGGGTGAGATGGAGGCTGAGAAAATAGTGTTTGAGTAGCATCCCTGAGGAAGCGAGAGAGATCTTCATGGCAGAATTCCAGAGCAAAGAGCTGAATAAAAAAGCCTGAGGTGAGAGTCCATTGTGGTGGTCAAGGAACATGAGGACACCCGGGAGGAATGGGACATGGTTGGATCCGAGTTTGCAGAGGCTACATCAATGGGGCCTTGTTGGCCATGACAAGGAGCTTGGATTTTATTCTAAGGATGACAAGAAGCCTCTAGAGTTCTGTGCACCAGAATTCTAGCTGCTGGGGGAAGAAGTAGACCTGGGAGGGAGATACGCCGATATTCCAGGGAAAGGAGATAGGAACTCAGGTCAAGATGTGCCAGTTCTGACAGGAATTAGCATAGGAAGATTAAAGAATCATTTTCAAGCAAAAGAAAATGAATTTGCTTTTGGTTGGGCTCTAGAGTGTGAGGAAAAGAAGATTCTTGGTTGGAGTAACTGGGTAAATTGTGGGCACTGACTGAGATGGAGGAGCAGGCCTATCTTAGGAGTGGGGAAGGAAAAGCTCAATGTGGAATATGTTTTAGTCATCCAACTTGAAATGTCAGGCGGGCAACTAAAGTCTAAGAAAGACTCAGGCTACAGATGTAACTTTAGGAGTCTTCAGTGAATAAGATAACCTTTAAGCCACTAGAGTAAATATAATTACCTCAGCAATGATTTTAGAGACAGGAGAAAAGACGATTGAACCTTGCCACTCAATGTAGGGCTTTTTACTTGTCTGTTTCAAGATAAATGTCATTCTGAACTTAAAAAGTAAGATAGGCAGACCTGGACAGAGCTACTTTTCTTGGGTCAAAGTACGGGACTCAGAGTCCTGCAGGCTGAGACTTCCTTTCATCTGCTGTAATTCTGGAAATGCCCACAGAAGCTCCCATGAGGCTCGGAGTCTCTAAAAGACAAACATTGAAATAGATGGAGCATCTCCTAGTCCTTTCAAGCTCTGGTGGTTGGCCAGTCTCTTCCTGGCTGCTGGCCTCTTGTGTTTGGTTTTCCTCGGCAAAGAAACTAAGGGCCTGGGCTGAGTTTCATGGTTTTGTTATTTGAATAAACAGATTTAAAAGTTCTTCTTAGTAAGATTCAATTAGCACACCAGCAGGCAAAATTATCTAACATCAGATCTGTAAGTGTGCTCCAACATGATCTCTTCGAGTCTCTAACTTGTACTGAAATACGAATGATTCTCAAAAGGAAAAGGGACTTGCTCAAGTGAATTCTGGACAAGACAGCCTAGATCTGACTCTGTGCTCTTTGATTTACCATGTTGTGGAATAAATATGATGAAAAATCTAGATATTCTTCTGCAAAAATGTAACTGTGGAGTTGTGAGAGTCAATTTTGTTGAGATCAGTGAACCCTTATCCAATAAGGAGTGTGTGCTAGCGGACCTGTGCTAGAGGAACTTTTCAGTAACTTGAAAGTCAACAGTCCTTTGAATATGATTTATTAGCTTGGGATTTGTGGATCAGTCTGGTGTTCCTGGATTCCTGGGTTCAGGAAAGTATGTATGTTTGTGCATGCATTGTTTTATGGGCAGAGAGTTCTTAAGAGTTTACTAGATTCTCAGGAAGAGCTATGATTACCCACCATATTTTTTTTAATAAAACCTGAAAATCCTCATAGACAACAAATTAGCTAATCACTTTAGGCAATATACTATTTTAATCACAAGAATATAGTTACTTATTGTCACTTTCTAGTGTCATTATGTGCAACATAGAAATTAGCTTTGCTTCTGGGAAGAGCACAAAATGAAACATAAATGAATTAAATAAAGTAGAGAGAAATGCTGATAACTTTTAATCCCCAGGGGATCATTAAAATATACAGCAGTTTTTGCAATGCTTATCTTTACCATACATCCATATGCCAATAGCTTTTTGCTATAACACTGTTTAGTTAATATTTCAAAAATGATAAGTCTTAATAAACAGGAAGCAGTGATTATTTGGTATTTTTCCTTTGACAAAGACTTTTATTTTCCCAAGTTACTCTCCTTTCTAACTTCTTTTTATTCCTCCATCCTAGGACCCTGTGGGCACCGAAGTCCAGCTTATCCATGCCTGTTTCCTGTAATGGACAAACTTGATGCAAATGTGAGGTGTGTTAAATTTCTGTATCTCTTGGGCTGTACGTGGTTGACATTTCTCCTAGGAAGCCTTGAAGAATCTGTTGTGATAAAGTTAGAGTTAATGGATGTAGGTTTTCTTTGGTGTTTCTGATAAACCACACTGTTTCACCTGTGTGGTACTGTTTTGTTGTTAACATTTTATCATTTCAGTTTAAATGATAAGTGTAACATGGCTGCAAATGTTCCCAGCTGCTGATACTAAAAGCTTCATTATGGAGATGGCTGTCAAAAATAGATATTCATTTCTGCAATAAGATGTATTTAAATGGGATAAAATGGCTTAAGAACATCTATCTGTACTTCTAAACTTTAGATGTAAATTTGAGTAGCACCTTTCAGCATCCTCTAGTGTGTTTTCTTTTTTTTTCAGCCAGGGCATCAGATTAAATGACATAGTTATGTGACATGAGATGGTTTGTATGGTATCATTTTATAAAGCTAAGTGGTTTTTGTTTTATTTTCCGATAATTCCCTGGAAAACTTGTAGATCAAATAATCAGATGAGTTTTAGGGAAGTTTTTTTTTTTTCATACAGGCTTGCTCCACTTTATTCGGTACAACCAAATAGTGTACAAAATTATGTTCAGTAAAGAATAAGTGTTATGTCTTTCCTAGCATTTGAAGCTGGGATTATTCATAGATACCCACAGCTAAAATACACCCTAAAATATATGTATATTTTCCTTGTGAACAGGTAGGGTAATGCACACCTGTAACTCAGAGCTCTGAGAGGCTGAAGCAGGAGGATTTCAAGTCTGAGCCCACCCTAGGCAACTTAATGACTTAGGACACCCTGTCTCAAAAATTTTTTAAAAGGTCTGGGGATATAGCTCATGCTAAGGCATTGGGTTCATCCTCCCACCACCACCAAAACAAAACAAACAACCAAATCCTCATATGCAGTTGTAGGGCCATTTGTCTTTCACTCAAGACCTGTGGAAAGTTTGAGGTATAAATCAAGGGACTATGGCTCTGTGTTTGAGGTAGTAGAAAGCTGTGACGAATGGGATCTGTCAAAGATTTTGACAGAAACTCTAGCGCAATATGATTTAAGTTGCACTGTCATCCTGCTGGGGAACTCCTTGGGACAGAAAGTGTCTCATGATGCACAATCACCGGCACATGGTACTTAGTAAAGAGCTGTCACTGAGCTAGTTGTTCTATATCTATCTATCTATCTATCTATCTATCTATCTATCTATCTATCTATCTATCTATCTGTATAGTGCACCTTGTGTTCTGGTGCACTCTCATCTAAAAGAAGGGCTATATATTTAGCAATACAACTGTTTGCATCGTCAATAAAAAACATCGTGAATTTTGTCACTAAGTGCACTAACTTGATGCCAATGCTTAGCATTTTAACACAGATTTTCAGGCCAGTGGTTTGTGTAGAAATTTGCCTTGAAAGCTCATTGAACTATTTACACAGAGAAAGTATAGTGGAATCCAGAGAATCTCAATTTTATTTTTGTTAAGTGAAAGGCCAGAATGAGCAATGTCAACAGTGATCTGTTATAAAATTATTCTAAGTTCCAGACACTGTATCAAATTAGTTCAGCTGGTTACAATGCACTTTTTGGAAGGCTAATTCTGATACTGTAATCCCTTACATTGCTAGCTTTTAAATATTTATTTTTAGAAGCATTAAAACCTGACAGAAGAATACAATTCAATTACGTGAACATTAGCCGTTCTCCGGGGTACTGGTGAACAGTGGTTCAGAGCACAAGATGCTGCCACACCCCACAGCCTCTCTCTGGACCACCCTCTCGTCAGTTTTCTAACCAGACCCTATTGACACATGTCCTTCCTCACCTCTCCTCCCAGCAGGCACATGTCACCAACTGTCCACTCATTTCCTCTTCAACACAGCCTTCATTGTCCAGAATAAAGGAGCGGTCCTGACTCACATTCACCAAGTTGTAATGCTGCGATGCACGCATCATTAGTAACGAATAATGAATTCGGGCCTTCTTTATTTCAAAATTAAAACTTTACTCCAAGGTTACCTTCTCATTGTGGAGATTAATGCTATTTTGTCATTTAGAGTCCTGAAGTGAAATTTCCTTTTCATATAATTTTATTTAAAATGGAAGATTAAGTTTAGAGACAACACATAATTTAAAAAATATGTATTAATAAATGTACGTGAGGAAAAAACCCACAGTAGTACTATGCAAATGACTAAGGTCTAGAAACTGATGTTCCAGGTGAAAGTAGCTAGGGCACACTTTATCATTTTGATAGGAGGAAGCAGATGCTCTTCTTTGGGGAGGAGATGTCTTTATTTGGACAAGAGCCTGCATAAAAAGGCTGGAGGGGTGAGAGCTGGAGGGGTTGAATCCCAAGCACAAAAGTGGAATCATTTTACTTGCTCTGAAGACAGAGAAAAATGAATGAACAGAGGGGGAAGAAATTTCCAGGGTAGCCAGAAGGAGTGTGTGGTCTCTGCTTAGTCAGGACAAAACAACCAAGAGCACAGCCGCTACGGGGAGCCTTGAGAGCACTTAGGGTGGAAAACAAAACAAAACAGAATACAACTAAACAGATATATGTTTGCATGCTGACCTCCTCAGAACTCAGCCTTTCAGGAGAATTTTCCAGCATGGCTATAAATTGGATATTGAAGGTTTGCTATATTATATGTTACAAAGTAATCGTGAGCTGTTAACTTATCTTGTATTATCCCACTCAATTTTTAAAATAATCCTGTACCATTATTGTCCTCCATGCAACAGTATGTGACAGCTAACACGCAAAGAGTGAAAAAGCTGTTCAAGAGGATATATCTATTCTGCCTTCTGTCACACTATAAATATTTTTGTCAATATGTATGTGCATTTACATGTGTATGTGTGTGTGCCTCTGTGTACAAATTGGAGAGGTGACTGAACTGAAGTTGCTGTCTGGGGAGAGAAATGTGGTTTATAAGAAAGAATGCCTGTTTGTGAATGGGTGCCCAATAGGAACACAATGGTGGGAGAGCATAAAGACCATGAAGAAATTTCAGGAATCTGAGTGCAGGTCTCACTCTTCCATAGGCTGTATAACAGAAGGGTCCCATTTTTCCCCCCGGAAAACAAGGGACAGAGAAGTCCTAGTTGATGTTCAGGGCTAGGAGAATCTTACATTTAAGTGTTTTGTCAGCCATACTGATCATTTCATTTTTAGTTTGTGTCTTAATTGTTTGCTAATCTAGTCGGATCCTTACTATTCTGTATCTGTCAGTATCCTTGGCTAGAAACATCAGAAACTAACACTAACATAACATAATTAAATGAAATAACGCTAACGTAATTAAGGATTACTTGGGGGCAGTTATCATGTACAGGCTCAAAGAATTAAGGTGAAAAATGCTGCAAGACCATGTTTGGAAGTAAGGACTTTGGGATATCTTAGAGAGTCAGAAAGTGGGATGATTGCCAACCTTGGGAAGATGTGGTCATTGCATTTCTTTATTTTATGTATTAATTACATTCCTAAGTGACGTGCTAGATCATTCTTGTTCTCCAGGCTCTCACAGTCTAGCTAGAAAACAAACATGTAAATAGAGAAGAATTCAACGACAGGAGAACACCATAGTAAGATATATAGTCAGCTATGTTCTGTGTGAACTATAAGGTAAGAGTAAGGAAAAGAAATACTAGCTCTTGATTTTAAAAATAAAAGACACATTACGAGCATTTTCCTCTTTAAGGCTGTACTGCAGAGAGAGCAGTGGGTGTAGGATGGGTTGACTCATGATGAAACGCTGCAGTGAATCAGGTCCTAGCTGGGGAGACAAATTTCTGACCAGTGCTGTCTCTTGGTAAATAGTGTCTCACAGGCTTACCAGTTAACAGGTTGCTTCTTCTAGATAACCTGACACCGACCTGGTTTATTTATTTGGTCTCCTTGCTCCCTCTTAGGGCTCTGGAGGAGACAGCTGTGCTCTCTGAGAAGGACTGATGAAAGGAAAATGGAAAGAGTGGCTTTGTTGATTTTGCAGCAGCTACTCTTTGTAGGACTTTTTTTTTTTTTAACCCACTTGCATTTGGGAAATGAGCTCCCCTACTCCAAGCCTATCTTATCCCTAAGCCGACAAGGATGCTTACTGTGACCCTAAAATACCGCTGACCTCAAAGTTAGCTCACATTTCTGTTTTATTTCACTACCAGATTCTTTCACTGACGTGTTTTTCCTCAGCTCCAGTGAGATCCCTGAAAGCAGCCCAGGCTCTGTCCTGTCCTTTACTTCCTGCTGTTTATTGCACTTAAACATTTCTACCTTCTAAGAATATTTTCTATCAGTTTCTAATTCCAGAAAGTACTGCTTTCACGCAGGAGATAAGTAGGTGAAGGAGTGTCCATATATATATGTACAACTTTATACTTAGAAGATTCTCTACCAGAGATAATGATACCAGACGTCGAGTGAAGAAAGTCTTATTTTCTATTTTGATTCTTCTTCATTGCAGCTTTTTTCAGCCTTGACTCAACTCCTTTCCTGCTGGGCTCTTTACAGTTTCCTACTTTGCTGCCCCTGGAGTTTCTGGGTTTTTTTCTTTCTTCAGTAAGAACATCCTCATTTAAGATTCTGTTTCTTCTCTCCAAAATAATTATGCGCTTCCTTATTAATGTTTTTCATTAGCTAGCAGAAAGCATCTTATATGAACTATGAATCCTACAAGTAATAGTATCTTCCTTCCTTTGCTAGGGTGGCAGGAAACTGAAAGCCAATTTTATAGTTACCATTAGCAAGGGTAGATGATCGCTAGGTGGGTACTGTGGCCATGACATGCCTTTTTATTATATTTTCCTAAGTCTTTTTTTCTCTATGCCTCATTTAATTTGCTTTCTTGAAAAATCTTATGTGTTTTTCATTTTTGTTAGCTGCTTAAAGGAAGGAAGGAAGGAAGGAGGAAAAGAAGAACGAAGGAAGGAGGGAGCTGTATCCCTGCGGGGATAATTTACTTTAGTCTCCCTGTA